AGAAATTAATCTACTGTAAGCTGTATCTGAAAAGTGAGCATTTCCGTTGTTTGCCTTCTAGTAATCAAATAAAAGTAATTTCAGGTAATAACTGAGTAGTTAAAATGAAGAAGTATTCCACGAAACAGTGCGGATGTCAACACTGCCATAACTAAGCACGTTGCATTAAATTTTTGTAATATTTCATCCTCTCACTCAAACATTAGTATATTAAGCATTAAATACTTAAACATATTGTGTGGCGTAAAATGCTGAGTATTTTTCAGTTGCTCTATATAATTTGTTCTTGTGTTCAGGAATTACACACAATGCTTCATTTCTTTCTGCTACTCACACTTTTTGCTTTTACCATTCCACTGTGTGCCCTCTATTTAGAGCTACTTATTTTAATGTCCCATTGAATTTCAGTCTACTGAAGGCATTACACTCAGTCTCCTTCATTTTTATGTAAATTTGAGATGCTATTTAGAGAGTCTTGCAGAGTAAGCAGTTACTGGGCCTTCACCTTAAGTGTCAGCTTCCTAGAAATTCTCCATGCTCTACTTTAAATACATGAATTCTTCAGAATTGTGTTTTCTTGGTGGCTTTCACAACCCATAAGCTCAGCTTTGTCGTGGGCCAGCAGTTGTTACCTTTTCTAAAGCACTTTGTCTTACAGGTTAAATGTCACCATTCTTTTAGTTCTGTTTTGCTGTAATGTAACTCACAGAACAGGTGCTTTACTGCCAAAAAAACCTCCCAAAAACTAAGTATCATGCAGATTTCAGCTAAAAAACATCAAATGAAAGGTTTCCAGAACCTCCAAAATAAACTAATTAGGTGTTTCTTTTATTTTTTCCCTGCTGTTTTTGTCTCCAAAAGGATTCATGCAGTACTGGAAGGGAATCAAATAACAATATTTAAATGGCAAATTAGTTATATCATAGTCAAAAGAAATCAAATTATCCATGTCTTAAACATCACTTACTAAAATCTGTTGCATATATTAAAAAATGCTCCTATATCACATAACTGTCAGGCTACCAGGATTTTTAATTTTTTTTGGTAAAAAGATATAACTTTATCAAAACTGTAATTCATAAGTTAATTCTGAAGTTGAAATTTGAAAATAAAAACCTCCACATTATCTGTGGCAATTAATAAGTAAAAAACCTACTGGGTTTTTACCTCTGAAACTTTGATGTGACCAGTATTCCTCTTTGCCATGTAAAAGTTTCAGAAAAACAATTTGGCAAGCAACATTCCTAGTTTATTGAGTAAACCAGTTCTCTTAAAGTTCTCCAGAATGTCTCTCTAGATATAGTTTGGTTTAAATTCAAAGAATTATGCAACGGTATTTCTTAGGTCATCTTGAAGTCTCACTTTTTCAAACACAATTTAGTAGAGTGACAAGACAAATTACCACCCAAGGTCATTACCCTTTAGAGAGAGGCATGATTAAATCTAAGTCTGTAACTAGTCCTCTTGAACTCCAATACATGCTTTATTAAAGTGTTATTAGAAGAACAGTTTTATGAGAAGAAGAAAGAGTCCTCTGTTATGTCAAGTCTGATAACAAGATTCAGGCACAAGATCTAAATGGTTATCATTCCACATTATCCCTTAAATATTAAAGCCAATTTCAAGTAGTTCCCACTGGATATTTATTTTTTCCCCTTGTTATTACAGATGGAGTCTCCTCATTTCTGTATTAAATTTTGCCTAATCTTTTCTATTAAAAGGCAGAACACAGGCACTTATTGTTTTGCTAACAAACATTTAATTTTTGGGTTAATATTTTTCATGACAGCTACCTTCTTTATGCTGAGTTATTTTGGAAAGTTTCATCTAAAATGTTTCCATATGCATATTTAAGGAAAACCTTTCCATATAGAAAAGAATAGCATGATGCTTTTATTAAAAATACCCAGTGCTTCTGAGAAATCTGAAGAATAGTCCTCTTCCTGCTGCCGTAACAGCTGCCATTCTCTGAAGAGAATGTATGTATTCTCAGTAGTTTTCCCTGAGGAAATGGATGCCACTGTGCTGTGTGTTCCAGACTTTGCAGGAGAAGATAAAGGCAGCACAACAGTCTTTTGCCAGAAAAAAGAAAGTGATAAAAACCAGAAAGAAGAAAACACCCTGAACCAAATGGAAAGGGAGGGAAGGGGGAAAAGAACAGCATTAGTAGCAGGAAGTGATACAGGGCTATGGAATGTAAAGGAAGAACGGGAACCAGACAAGAAGTGAGATCATATTGGAAAGGAACAGTTGAGGTGAGGAAGAGACTGGCAGTCCCAGTGGGTAGAAACAAACCCACTGTGAGTACAGTAACAATTGCAAGGAGGCGCTGGGTACAGCAACATGGTAGGACAGGTCACGTTAGTAAACCACAAAGGAATCAGGACGATCGTCCAAAGCGGACAGCTGCCATCGGTCCTTTTTTATTTAGGAAATCAAATGTAAAGGGTACTGTGAGAAAATGCTCCATTTGCAAGTTCAAACACTCAAGTTACATAATGTCAAAATTACTTTTTTTCATAGAACATTATTCACTTCCCTTACGCGTACAAATTATGATGCAATCTGTAAGGTTCAAATCAACTTAAACTTACAAGACACTTGGAAAACTGAATTAAAATCTGACTATTTAAGGTGGAAATTTTTCCTTTGACTCTTCTCTTAGATCAGTTAAAGCCAACATTTCATGAACTAATACGAAGGTGATGGCATAAATGTCAAGGAACACAAGAAGACATAATTTTTCATGATTTGTTAGCCATGAGGTAACACTACTAAACTCTTCTATTTTACTTCTATTCAAAGGTTCTACCAAAATAATAGATGCACGTTACAGGAAGCATGATTTGGGTGACATATAGTAGAGGTACACAGTAGAATTCTGAGTACCGTTATAAACATATAAAAAAATGAAGTTAAAAAATTCAGACTCCTCTGCAAGCGAAGAAAACTCACAATCTGTTAAGGCTTCTTTGTAAATATTTTCACTGTTAGAATGTTTGACCCTTTGGACAATACTTTGACATACCCTATCTGCTTATCCTGCTGATGTTTCCAATGGAACTTCTTTTACTATCTGGTACAGCTGGAGGATTCTGGGGAAACTATTTGTAGCCTTGTCTCAAGTAAGTAAAACATCTTCCCATATGGGATCTGTTGCAGCTGTAATAGCATCACCAGCGAAAGTATATTTTATTAGGCTCAATGAGGTTAAAAAAATGACATTAGGGTACTGCCACTTCTAACATGTGGCTTATTTAATTAGGTACACAAGTACTGGGAGAATTCCTCAAATGAAATACATCTGAGACAATTACTAGATACAACATGAAGCACTTGAGAGCTCTAATCTCCAGATACTACCTTCAAAAGGTCCATGTGCAGTATACTCATTCTCTCTAAATGGTGAAGTTGGGTATTTCGGGATTTAGCCTGTGTAGGGAAGCACATAATTAGTTCAGATGGAATATAGTTTTTATATAGTTTATATATGGAATATAGTTTTTATTTTTTTATTCAGATGGAATATAGTTTTTTCTTTAGGATTAAATAACTGATAGTATTACAATTAGAAAAGAATTCTCTAAGAAGTCAAGAATCTTGGTTGCAAAATACTTTTAATATTAAAATTAAGGACTAGCCTCTTTATCTTTAGATAATCTCATGAAAAAGGGTAGAAGAATAAAGCAGTGTAGCACTTTGTATTTGCAAAATACTTGCATTATACTTACTCCAACCTGCATTTATGTTCTTTTGCATATCTTGTGTTACTTACATTTTTCTTGGTGGCAAAGGTCAGTTCCTTATGATATTTCCTATTTTCCTCCCTGAAAGGACACCTTACAGCAGAAATGACCAGTTCCTTCTGAATTTTTCTTTACTTCAAAATGGCATTAAAATTTGTCTCTTTGACTGTGGATTCCACAACATGGTACAAAACACAGGTCCCAAACACACAGCAAGGCCATGTCTAAACATGGGACTGCTCTCATCTTCCAGGAGAATACACACGTTGTTTTTCCAGTCTGGAACAGGGTGACAAGGTTATGCCACCGTTATTCCTTAGAAACTGCACACAGGTTTCCCAGCTCTGGCTGCAATGTCTGCATAACTGGGACAGCTGCTAAGTGCAAATCAATATGGAGAAGTATCTGATTGTGGCATTCACACAATACACATCTCAGGAGCTTTTAAATTGGAAGAGCACTAACCTTCACAAAGCATGGCAAATGGGGAGAACCGGGAGATTCACTTCAAGAGCTCACTTCTGATCTAAATTAAAATGCTACCTAGGATACATCGTTCCACACATGCCTTCCAACAAACAAGGCCATCACCTGGCACAGGAAAGAATGTTTTGGTTCTAGAAGTAATGGGAAGGAATGCCTGGCATGGATTTTAACAACCAGTTTTCTTTTTACCACTTACAGTAAATAATTTCAGAGACTTTATAAATTATATACTTTCAAACATTCATATTTCATTCAGGTGATGTGAAAGAATAAGCATTGCAGGTATTTAGAATGGGGACATCACTTACAGGAGTTGTTGTGTGCACTAATGAAAACAGGGCAATTACTGTTACAAGACTTTCATAAGAACAATGTTTTTTAGGAAAAATGTGGCTTGCCTTGCAAAACACCACGAGTTGGGAAAAAAAAATGTAGTCACATAATGGAAAAAAATACACTCTATTTATGCAGCAGGGAAAAGTTGGAAGTCCACGTTTAGTACAACACACGTCTAGGAAACTTGGGCAGCCTTTACGCTGGGGACAATCCTCATCGGAACTTTATAATCTCGCTAAAATCGTTGTTATTCTCTCACGAAAACCAGAATGCCACTTAAAGCAAAACAGACGCTCCGATTTTCCCGGGACGCTGACTGAACAACCCCCCAAGCACCACAAGCCGCCCCAGCCCGCGCCCGCTCCCTCAGGGCACTTCCCGCCGGGGCGGGGGCGGGGCGTGTGGAGGAATGTCCCGCCCCTCACGGCGCCGCGCGCGGGGTGAAGGGGCAGCGGGAGGTGGCGCCATTTTGGGAGTGGGGGTTGGCGGCGCTGCCCCTCCCGCGGCCGGGCACGGGCGGGAGCCGCTGCCTGGAGGTTGGTTCGTCGCCCGCGTGTGGCTGTGGCGGCTGCTGCTCAGCGGGGCCGGGAAGCCGCTTCTCTCCCGACCTCCCCGTCACCACCGACGTGTGGCCAAGGGGGACTGGGCTGGGAAAGGGGCGGCGTGGGGATGGCAGCGTCAGCGCGCAGGGCCGGCGGCTGCTGAGGTTGCAGGACACAGGCACCGGGATGAGGGAAGTGTTGCGGGGCCGGGGTTGGGTACGCTTTACACTGTGGGGAGCGGGCAGCTGACACACCTGAGGGATGGGGCTGGCGGCTCTCGGCGGCCGCGTCTTCTCGGTCACGCCGCTCCCAGCCCGGTGTGCGAGCAGCGCCTGCTTTCCGCGGCTCCAGGTGTGTCCTGGCGCCGTGTGAGGCCTACGCGCTTTGTCACCGCCGTACACACGGAGGGGTCACGCAAGCACAGCCTGTAGGTTCCCCCGTCTGTAGGTTCTGCCACATAAGCCTCCTTTTTCCATTGGGGAATGTGGCGTCCAAGTGGAGCTCAGGGCCTTGAGTTTGTTGCTTGAGCCTTCTGGATGTTTGGCAGGTCAGTTAAAGTGGTGATTGAGCGTGCGAAGTGGGAGCCTGGTGAATCGCCGTGCCGGCTCGGCTTCAATGCTTACTAGTTCTTTACAGAAATAATACAGACCTCTGCCGGCCCCCTTGAGAGGCAAGACTGTCACAAACACTGCATTTTCTCTCTGCGTGCTTGCTATGTCCTCCCCAAGAATGCAGGTGGATATGCTTTTTTATGCAGCGTCACTGTCCCAAAGGATAGTCAAGGAAAGTCTGTGAGAGATTAGCAGGAAAAGATATTCCTGTGTGGGACAGTCTCAGAGCAGTATCCTCCATCACTGGAGATACTGTAGTGCAGCAAGTGTTCACATGTTTTGTTTTCATTCCACATCAGAAAATGGGCTCTGCTTAAACACCATCCCAGAAGAGGATGAGGACATAAGAGCTAATAAAACAGTTGTTTTTTCCCCCAGTCCTGTTTTTGAGTGGAGGCAGAGTAATATTTTTTTAATAGGTGGGGGATAGAGTCTGTTATTCACATAATATCATACTTGCTTTCTAATTTACAGAAAGGAGGAACTGAGAAGCCGGAGGTATGCATAAAACACATACATCTTGAGAGGTGAGACCATTGTGCCAACAGTGTTCCTTCCACCAATTCTGAGGAGACAGTTTCTTCCATATCTGACAGTAGTGCTCTATTCCAGGTAGTAAAGTCAAATGCAGACAGTAAAATCTCCTTGGTTTAGACATTTGGAGAATGAGAATGGCAGGTTTCTCTCCCCTTGGATATTAGGTGAGAAAATTCCTAGAGTAACATGTTTTCTTGTCAGTTTTGCAAGTGAACATGTTACTTAAAACTTTCCCGTAATACTTACTACAGATCTTTTTCAGATAAAGAAAAAAAATTATTTTCATGTCCAGGATAAAGAACATGTGACATTTTGTTAATACTTACTCCCAGAAAGTTGAGCTGTTCACAGAAAGCAGTAGAATAAATTCTCTAATAGGAGAAACACATTCTGTCTTGTTTGATACCCCATTTGTTTGTGGGCCGGGATTTGCTGAATAAACTACTTGGCACTTGATTTATGATAAAATGATTAATGCTCTTTATTGCATACTATCTAGACTTCTGGAATGCAAAGCAAAATCCAAGAAATTCTGACCAATAATTAGATGGATAATGGCATGACTGCATGTCACAGGGGTCTTGCTTTGTTTGTGATTGCTAGTCTCTGAATCTTTCTGGAATTTACTGCCTTATTCTTAGAATGCAATCTGTTTATGACAAGGATTATTTTGTGTGTGTTTATTTTTAGAAAGCACATAACCAAGTGGTCTTGGTCCCTTACAGAAGTCTTTAGTTCCAAAACAAGAAACATAATAACAGATTGCAGATTTGATTTAAAGTTGTATTTGACTACTTCTAAATTACAAATGCCATCCAGCATCTGTTCAGTTGGTGTTAAATGAATTAGTTGAGTTTGGTTCATGTCACAGAAAACAATCCTTGTGATTGAAGTATTTGCTTTTTTGTTGGTCATAATAGTATTGATGTCAGGCATCAGTTTCTGCATTGGAAATTGGCCTATGTTTGTCCTGTAAGAGATTTCTATCACTTGACAGAGTAACAGGTCAGTAGAGAACAGAGATTGTTGATATAATTAGTTTTTCAAGTGTTCACATTTTAAAATCATGATTTGTAAATTATTTAAGGTATATCATAAAATTCCAGCTGAACTGATGCAGCACTGTAGTAGTTTTTTACTAAAGATGAGCAGTAAATAACCTGGCAGTCTTGTTTAAACCATAGTTGTGGTAGGTGATGTCTGCTTTTCTCCTGGGTGAGTACATTTTAGTTGTGACCGTGGAGCGTCTGAGGGTCTGATGTCATAGGCTTGAATAAGTTCTGCTTTTTTATACTTTACCTTAAAAATATGCATGCTGATAATGTATTCATTGTTTTCTAAGATGCTTCATGCTGAAAATGGAGTAAGGCTCTCGGAGTGTCACGATGAAATAAAAACTGAACCGTATTCTAAAAGGATGAAGTCAACAGAAGCGACTTGCGAGAAACTCCCTGATGATGATAACCAAGGTATTCAGCAGGAGGTGGATGCTGAGAGAACATCAAGTGATTGGATACCAGCGTATGCCTCAGATAACCAAGGGCAACATGAAATGCAGAAGCAGGAGAAAATACTGACTGGTGTCTTGGGATCACTGAATGAAGTTCTCCTTGAAAATAATCCAGTGCTTAGTCAGCCAGTTGATTCAGAAACTGTGCAGAATGTAAATCCTCCATTTGCATCGATAAATGACACTAAAGTTGAAGAAGAGAAAGACCCTTTTATTATAAATAATGCTGGTGAAGATAATAGTAAAAAAAGTAGTACATCATTATCAGTACATAGAAATGCATCAGATGAAGATTTTTTTACAAGCAAAGAATTTATAGGACCTATTTACAAGCCTGCCAAAAGTAACCAACAGGGTGAATCTGGCAGTTGCAATGAATGTAGAAGCAATGGGGGAGATGAGAATGAATTACATGAAAACAGACCTAAAAGAAAGGAGGCTAACAAGATGCAGGCTGTTTCTGCCACTGTACCAGAAATAGATGATGAACTGGACCAGTTCTATAAAGAAATTCATCAGCTGGAAAATGAATGTTTAGATACTAATCCTCAGGGAAAAGAAAGTGAAATTTCTCAGGAACAACAGTCTCCATATAACTGTAGTCAAAGCTCACAAGAGGATTGTCAACACATATTGTTGGACAGCCCACAGCCATTTTATGGGAATGGACAGCGTTTTCTTGGGGAACAGAACAGTCAGAAAACTAGCAATGAGCAGCAGTTTGTTGTGGAAACAGATGGCTGGAAAACTGAAAATACCTTTAATGGCCAAGTAGATGCTAAAAGTTGGAACTGCTCAGTGCCTGAATTCAGACCTGCTTGGCAGACTAGAGCATCTTTCACAGTACCTCAGGGACCTCTTCTTCCTAGATTGAACCATCAGTCCCGTTTTCAGACACTTAATTCCTCACCACAAATTCCAAATGCTCTCCCTTTTCAGAATGGGGAACTTCGTTATGAAAATCGTCGTAGTTACTATAGAAATACTGATATCAACAATCCCGGTCCATTGCTTGATCACAATACCAGCTATGCTAGTCATATTGACATCCATACTACTCAGGTCTTCAGAAATGAAAATAATGACCAGAAGGGACTCCAAAATAATGGTTTCTGTGAAACCAGAGAAGAGTGTTGGAAGGATCCAAAAGCTGACAATACAGAAGGAATGCGCAGCTTTTCTTCCTTGCAGTTGCGTGAAGAACGATTTGGTTGTGCACAGAAATTTCTTCTAATCTTAAGAGGCTTACCTGGTTCAGGGAAATCTACACTTTCTCGGTGAGTAAAGGCTTAAAACTTGAAAAGTTTATTCAAGTAAAAATTTTTAAGAATTTAGAAATGTCCATAAGCACTTAGCAAACTTTTTAGTTTGTGAATTAGGCTACTAAAATGCAGTAATTTAGTATTTGCTGTCATTCATACTTGGTGAGTGCAAATGACAGTAAATATTAAAAGTATTTAGTTGGAGATTTTGTCTTCTTTAGAGTTTTGATGACCAGGAGCTGCTTTGTGTTAAAATGTTGTGTATCCATTAAATTGCATAATCGTTTATTCTGAGGCTTTCAGGTGTACTAGTATGTGGTGGTCTGATTTTTTTTTTTTAATTCTTAAATTCCTTCATTTAAAAAAATCTTCCATTAAATCTAACGGCATCAGTTTGACTGAACCAGGAGTACAATTTTATTTCCACACAAAAACTTTCGTTAGAAGAATTCTGCTGCTCTGGGAATACTTGTTTTCAGTGTGTTGATGAAGCTGATCAGAATCATTCCCTTTTTTTCATAGTGTGGTCTGTCAACTGCTCTGTTCATTTGTGAACACACGAGAAAAATACTAATTTTTTCTTAAAAATATACTTGTTGATGTCTGGCAGGGTTAAAAGCAGATGCCATCTCCAACTTGGATTTTCACTTTGGGTTTTTTTGGCCTAATTTATAAAGCGCAAAAGTTGACATAGAGCACAGACACTACCTGTATTAATTTCTTGTATTAAAAAAAAAGTTGCTAAATCAGTACTTACTGATTGAGTTTCATCCAGAAGCTACATCAGAAATGGGATGTCTTCTGTGGTTTTCTTCTGTTGTATGCTAGGAGTCTGAAATAGATACAGTGATCATGTTCTTAGTTTTTGTGTAAAGGAGTAACATTCTGTTTGTGGGGTTTTTCCTGATATTTAGGAGACTGTGATCTCCGTATCATAGCTAGAAATCTCTTAACAGATATTTTCTTACATGTTTGAGTAATTTTAACTCTAATATTTTATAGTTACTGGTTGCTGTATTTTACAAACCTACCCATGTGGTATTATTTCAGTAATTCCTTTATTATGGGAAAGCAACATAGAAAATTTAAAAAGTAACACTGTGGAAAAAATGCTGCCTCATTCAATGCAGGAATTGGATAATACTTAATATAAAGATACTAGATATTTTTTTTCCATCTTTGGTGTGCTAACTTGTCTCAGAATCTTTCTCGAAATATATGACTCATGTTTTCTGAAAAATTCTAAGTATCTTGAGGTTTTTATGAACACATATTTGTGCTTTTTTTCATCTCTTGCTAGTGAGATCAATTACTAATTTTATTTAACATATGAGAAAGTGGGTACTATGAAATCAAGGTCAAGAATAGTTACCAAATGTGGGTGCAGAATTTGAACTGTGTGGAACATGTTTTTCAGTATATTCAATTACATGCAGTTTCATATGTTCAATGCTTGGTTGCAGTTGCAAATTCCCATGAAATCATGTCTCAAGGTCTTAGATACCTTGGGGAAAAAAGTCCCAGAATTAATGGCTGGGCTGCCTATGGGGAAAATACTTGTATTATTAGTTAAGTCTTATTCTTAATAAAGTTGAACATATTTTTCTGTGTTACATCATAAAATTTTTCTGTGTAGACTAGGATAGACTAGGGCAATGTCATCTGAGGTCATATTAGTACCCACAGGTGTCTTTGCAAATGTGTCATCTGTAGCACCTGCAGACAAACCCCCACCCCTTTTGTGAGCAACATGACTGTTAAGGAGAAGCAGAAAGTTGACATCATCTATGTGGATCAGCACTAGAGGAGAATGAGGCGCATCTTGCAAGTGGGTTTCCCAAGTATGAAATGACAGCAGGGCCAGTAGTGAGACCTAGGAATCTTGAATTTCTATTTGCGTTTTGTGCAAAGTGAGTACAGACGCTTTTCGTCCTGCTCACAAACTTCAGCTGTATGTGTCCTGAATCTTCCACTGAAGTTTGTGTTTTGTTTCGACTCTTCCATTCCAAATAAACAGTTTGAATCATAGGCATGTTTTTTGGAAGAAGCTAGTGGAGATCAACTAGGCCATCATTCTGCTTGGAGTGAGTCTGTCACCATCATTGGATCAGATTGGGTCTGTCTTTGTCAGGCCTGATCTTGAAAAACCCACAGAGATTCTATGATCTTGGCAAACTTTTCTAGTGCAGTACAACCCTCCTACTAAGGAAGTTCTTCCTAGTCTCCAAACTGAAGTTCCCAAACCATAATTTGTATGTGTTCTGTGTTGTAACATGTGCTGTTCCGTGGTAAAATCTGGCTCATCTTCTTTGCAACTTGCTTTCTGATAAGGGATAAGTTTATTCACTGTAATAGGCTGATACCAGACAGGCTGATATCAGGCCTTTTGCTGTCTCCACTACCAGACTAAAGCCCAGCTGCTGTTAACCTCTCCTTGTAGGTTATATGCCCTTGGCCATCTTGGTAGCCATCTATTCAGCCCTTTCATGTGTTTCAGCCTGTCTTTTGTTCAGCATGTCATCCTGGACACAGTATTTCAGAACTGACCGCACAAGACCAGGTAGAATGTGGGTGATGCCTTTTCAGATGATCTACTGGTCACATTTTCTTTACTAAAGCCCAGACTGGCGTTTGCTCCTCTTTTGACAAGAGCACAGCATTTGCTCATCTTCAGCCTGATGCTCACTGTAATCCTCAGATCCTTTTTACCAGGGCCACTCAACCACTTTCCCTCCTATGCTGATGCTTAGGTTTTTTTCATCAGTTGCAGAACTTTTCTCTTTTCCTTGTTGAGTGTAGTGATGTTTTGCTTAGCCCAGTTCTCAAGTTTCTCAGTGGCCTTCTGGACAGAAGCCTTGCTGATCAGTATATTGAGCATCCCTGCTAACTTGGAGTCATCTACAAGTTCTCTGCCTCATCATCCAGGTTAATGACAAAGATACTGAAAAAACTGGTCTTGCTAGCGTGCTCTTCTGTACTCTGTTTGTTACTGACTGGGAGATGGTGTTGGAAACATTCATGATTTCCAGGTGTGCTGCATTCATCACTCTGTCCTCATGGACAAAAGCATTGTTTCATCAGAGAGTGCATTCTGGTCAGTAAAGAATAATTTGTCTGTTACAAAACCCACGTGGACTCTTCCTGGTTAACTTAATTTCCTTAACATGTTTGGAAATAGATTCCAAGAGGATGCACTCCATTGTCTTTCCAGAACAGAGGTTGGGTGAGGTTGAGTAGCTGTTAGTTCCTTGGGTCTTTGTCTTTACTTGCCTTAAATATGAGCATAACTTCAGTGACTTCTGAGTCATCTGGGAGCTCCCCTCGTCTCACTGCTGTGTTTCCCGTGTTCACCTGACCTAGACAATCCAGGCCTTCTGAAGCTCTTTCAAATTCCTATTTCTTGACTGCCTGTTTCCAGTTTTGTTTTCCTGTTCATATCCAACCATGGCTTTTGGCCTGTGCTTACTAGCTCCACATCTGCTTCTAAATTCTAAGCTGATTTCTCAGTTCCTTCTCCATCCCCTTTCTTCACAGATTCGTTTTGTCTCTGTTTCAGCTAGTGGTATTATTTCACCCCCAACTTCATTATAACAGTGTCTTCCCTGTGCTTCACTCTTTCCCTTGTCCCTGTTTCCTAGCTTTGCTGCCACTGCTGAGTTGCTTGTTCCAGTGTTTATACCACTATCCTTCCCCTGTCCTTCTATTTTAGGCCAGTTTTGTTTCTCCTCTTTCTTCTTGTGTTGGGAGAAATGTGTTCTTGCAATGCAGTATTGGACCTGAATCAGCTCCTGCCACTACCAGATTGCTCTTTCTGCCACTCCCAGTTGTGTTTACTGCAGTGAGAATCTTTGCATTTTCTGTACAAAATTGAGTATTTTTCACTACTATTTTCTGTGCACATAGCATTTCAAAGTTGTGTACCTTGGGCGGATTTACAACAAGTTTTTGCAGGACAAATGCATGTACTTTCTCAGATCCCACTTTGTCAGTCCAAACTTGTCAGAGAAAAGCTTGGAATAACAAAACATGATAAAAATGCTGTATTTCTTCCTTGGTTTTGTAAGTGGTAGGCCATTTAGTTAGAGATTTTTGAAAATAGTTTGGCCTGACAGATACCCAGCAGTGATACCTTTAGCCCAAGTAACAAAAGTCTGCTACCATAGAAAGTAGATGATAATGGGCTCTTACAATGCTGGGAAAAGTTACAGGAAAAGGGACTTGTATTTTTAGAATATTTTGCTATTGAACTTGGCAGCAATTGCAATTTACCATTCCTCCATAAATATCTAAGCATTCATTTGAATAAAAAGGAGTGTAATGAAATAGAAAGAACAAATATCGGTGTAATTTAAGAAGCACATTTTTAATTAAATCCATGAATGTATAAATACAGTTGTCTTTATCTGGGACCATTCTTCCTGACAGCAAATTCTCCTGAATGGAAGAGTTAAAGTGTCAGTATTTGTAGCTGAATGTAGAAACAGTAGTGTGCTGTTGTTTCTAATTATGTATTTCTATAAAGTGTTACAAGCAATGCTGTAAAAGTAGCAGTTACATAGTTTCAAAATCTGTAGTAGTACTACTTTTTTTTCCTCACCATGGTAGGTTAGCTATTTTAAATAGTTGAATTATTAGATTTTGTTATAAAATCATCTATCAAAGTAGGCTAACCAGGATACAGATTTGGGGACCACTTTAGTTTTGAAGAAAAATTAAAGCAGGATTTGTGTGTGTGCATGCATGCACACACACACGCACTGGAAAAATGTGTATAGGTTTACTGACCAGTTAAAATAGCTTTTTGGTTTCAGCATGGGTTTTGTATGTCAGGCTAATAGCTTCTATCAGATCAGATAGCATGTCTGGAAAAAGTAGGTGAGCTGCTCTAATTCTAATAGCTGCTTTAATTTCAGTGCCCTACTCTGTTCTGAAGTGGCTGTTCAGTTGCAGGGAAGGTTTAGGCTAAAAAAGCTGGATTACAGCAGTTGGATAATATGCTGTTTGTTTCAGGCATGTGCACATATTGATGCTGACTGATCTGTAATTTGACTCTCTCATTAGAAATACATTTATCTTACTTTTTTCTTTCTCCATTTCTCAAAAGTGGAATATCATCTCTTTGTGGGTTTAAATAGTAATGATGCTTTCTTCGTATAGACATACTTTTTGTTCTTTCTATTTGCTAGTTCATGAGCCTGGGATGAATTGTACTTCCAAATGCATGTTAGAAGTATGTGAGTTATTCTGTATGATGTCAACAAGTAGGTTTATGTTTTGAATTTTACAAGTTTAAACACTGTGATTTCTGAAAGAGGTAACTGTCAGGCTTTTAAAGTGTTTTGTTTTATGATTTAATTTCACAATTTAGAAACAGGTTACAAGCATTACTGTAATAATTGAAATTTCAGTTCATAAACGTATTACTTCATGATAGCTTGTGTGTTGTGTATGGTGTAAGAGTTCTATTACTCTGGCCTCTTTGGTAGTCACTTTGCCTTGTCAAATTCTCTGGTTTTAGGGTTACTGCAAACATAGTTTACCATATTTAATCTGTTATATCAGTTACACAGGTTCATTAATAATTGTGGAGTATTCTGAACTTCAAGGAATACTAACAAAATATTTCAAGAATAAACTTTGTTGATGGGTTTGCAACGTTTCTTGAACTCTTGTCATTGTATTTCTTTATTGCTACTAATAATGTTTGGAATGTATAACAAAAGAATTTGAGTAGGTGAGTTATTCTCCAGAACACAGAGCAAACAGAGTCAGTTTTTAGAAATAAAAATGAAAATTAATGTCCCATTACTGTTAATTCCTCAGTTCATATATACTCCTGTAGAAACTGAATGGTCAGGCCCATAGGAGCTGTAGGGGTGTGTTTATCTCCTCAGCTAGTAGAAGAATCCCAGATGTTATTTGCTGTCATTTTTATTTATTAAGGCAGATGGTTCTGTAAGATGTGTGTATATACATTCAACACACAAAAAGGGAGTGTGGAAGGTGGATCCAGTTTTTCTAGCATGATTAATTGGTAAATGTAGCATACTGTAAATAAGGAAATCAGGCCACATGTGAAATCATGACCATGTAACTTAATGAATACAAATTCCTGTTAAATATTTTATACTGTAGAGGAATAGATACAAAAATTGCTGCCACGTGTGGTGTATGATTTACTGGTGCCATTTATTCCACTTGGAACAAAAATAGGTGATGAATCCTTCTGCGCTCTTCTAAACCAGTGTCATACACATCCTGTTAAAAGATCTGGGCTTGAACAAAAATAATTATTGATCACTGTTCAAAAAAGTGGCTGTACTTTTGGTGTATCGTGCTCTTTCTCAAATAGGTTTGCTATTTGTGCTGAAGTAACCTTAATACTATGGAAAAGGGAGAAAGAGCAAGGAGGAAATAACAGTTTGTGTGCAGCTTTGATCGTGTTACTTGACACTGTGCCATTAGTAGTTTGTTCTGGTCCTCAGTAATCTGAATTTTGTTGTACGTATCTGTATCTTAAAAGCAAAAATAACCAACAGCATATTTGCAGGACAATAAACATATAGGGATGTAAGCTAATATTTAATACAGCATCCCAGTCATTAAATTGTGATTCATAACAGATCTATTGTTGGTGACAGGTGGCAAAACATAGCAAATTCCTTGTGTCAGACTTACACTTAAGTAGCTCTTCCTGCACAGATATATAGAAAAGCATGGTAACTTAGAACTGACATATATTTGTTCCCCTAAGACATTTGGGATCTGGCCAGTTCTTTTTTATTCCTGCCACCTCAGCAGTAGTGCAATCCCACATACTGCTAGTGCAGTTTGGTTTTAGTAGCCTGTGTGTACATTGCCTGTTTCTGAGCTTGTCTAGTTGCCTGCATGTCCATAGGAGGGTGATATCTGAGTGTTGCAGTGGGCTGTAAATGCTCTGTGACACTAACTGGCTGTTTTCTACTTCCAGATTGAAATAGTCAAGGAGGTTTTTTTAATCACACTTTTCCTGTAGATCAGACTTTAAGAGAACTGTACTGTTGTCCTAGTTATATAGTGTTTTCCTTTAAATGCCAATTTCCAAGGACTTTCTGAAATTAAGTTTACATTTGGCAGAACATGGATTGCTCATTTGACAGGTTCTGATGTTACTGATCAAGCAGCAGTTAATTACTCCCTGTAACTTTGCTATAATCATTTTTTCCTGACTCGCAGGTATTTGCTGACGTGCCTGGGGAGCGTTTGGGACGAACTTAGGTTAAATCCAAAAGTCAGCTTTATGGTGCTTTTAGAAGGTTTGACTGTGGTATTTGATGACACGGCAAATGCAGAATTCTTTAAAAACTTTATGGATTTTTCTAGTATTCCTATGTCACCCATTGCAATAGCTTCTGTAATTAATAAATATCAGTAATGAAAATTTTACAATACAGAGTAAAAATAAACATGTAAACAGTGGATATTGCAACTGTGTCCCCCTGAATTTCTTTTTTTTTACCCTCATTGACTTCCCCACCGTGTCTTTTATTGTTTGATAAAGTATGCTTAAATTTGTCCTGAAATCTTTAATGTTAACTGTGCAAGAAGCAGAATGTACTGTAACTTACCCAACCCACAAATGAAGTAAACTTCTAGCCAGTGAAATATCTATGATACTTGGAAATGTCAGGCCTAAAGATTGGGTAAATGTGAAATTTGCATTGCAGTCTTTTTTATTTTTATCTTTATGAATTCTGATTTGAATCATTTGATCCTTTTGTTTACAAATTTGTTTTGGTTTGTCTGTTCCCTTCCCCCTCCCCCAAATTCTTTTGCAAGACTATCGGATTTTGGTGAGATTGGTCTCTGTGTTCACAAGTCACCATGGAATGGCATTGCCTTAAGGAAAACAATCTGAAACACTAATCAAGTAGTTTTTCTCCTGATTTGAAGTAACTAATGCAGGGATAGTAAGATGCCTGGCTTTCCTATCACCCTGTTAACTCTATGAGTGATAGGGAAAAGAATATAATTCCCTGATAGGAGTTTTTCATATCTCCACTTCTGTCTTTAAATTTCTTGTCATCTATTAGACTGAAAGTGCAGTTCTACCAGATGAGTTAACCCATGCAGCAGCTTACTGCTGCTCAGGCAAGGGACATCTCCATTGGTAGTTATTAATTTCTGGTGTATCACGTTTTGGGGCCTTTTCTGAAATAGTCTCAACTGCTAAAGCTTCAGAAAAGTAACCTGGGGTTGGGGGGTTTGTCGGCGGGGGAAAGTATTGCTTTCTTCTGCCTGTTGAATTCCAGCAGATTATAGTTCCAGTGAGTGCCAGAGTTGATGAGAAAATAGGAACGGATAAGACTATGTTGTCAGGATTAGACAAGAAGACTTGGAACTGGAATAGGATATAGGATCTTGAAGGAATATGGACACTCTTCTGTAATCCTGACTTTCATTAGTAGGATGATCTTGAAAGTTTATTTTGATCTTTTATGTTTTCCTGAAAACAGGGAAATAGCTGTAAACATTAGTAGTTTCATTTTTCTGTTCTTGTTCTGCCCACCCCCTATGTGCTAGCAGCATGGACAAGGGTCAGAAGAGGGCATATTGAGAGTTTAAGGTCTTGAAAAAGGATTTAAACATTCAGTTCGTTTTTCAGCTGCGTCTGGAGGCCTCATGTTCAGATTGGTTTCTAGACGTGAGAATTGAGATGGAAAATGTTAGTAAATATCTTCAGTTATTATGAGGTACTTAGAACTTATTGCAGTAAAGCCATAAATTAGATAGATCTAATTAGAACATCTCTTGGGGGTGGAGAAGAAACAACAACTACAGAAATAGTAGAGAAGGGGAAAATATATTGCTTTAATTTGGATTAGAATTATTGGTAATGCATGAGTGTACTTTTATAAATCTGTTTGACGTTTGCAAGAGGTTCAGAAGTAGGACACAGCTAAATCTATTTTAGCTATATTCTTTTTTATGTGTCTTTTTTAATCTATCTGAAAAATTTGAAGTTAATTTATTGTTGTGCTTTCCTTTGTTTAACAGCATTCTGCTTGGTCAGAGTTGTGATGGCATTGTATTCAGCACCGATGATTACTTCCGTCAGCAGGATGGATACACATATAATGCTGCTCAGCTTGGTGATGCCCATGAGTGGAACCAGAAGAGAGGTTTGAATGCATAAGGGGAATCCTATTAAACTATGTTATATTGAGAAAATAGAAGTGAAGTATAACATGCATGTGTCTTAAGAGCCTATGTGAAAAGGAGTATATGTATTTTAGCATAGCGTATATAGAACTATGCATTTAAAGTATTCTTTATTCTTTAATTCATATATATGTATACATTAAATTTTGAACTTCTACAAGGTTCAGAGATAAAAATAGAAAAACTTGTTTCTTTGGGCTGTGCCCTACTGATTTGTTCCATCTGATAGTAGTATGTTGATAGCAGAATTCAAACTTTTTAATGCTGGCAACAGCAGATGTCATGATGTAATACCAGCAACTGTGAAGAAAACTAACTCTATCCAAGCCAAAAAGAGCAGAGCAGAGGATTCTGGTTTTTTCCATTATCTTTACTGATCTGAGTTTTGTCCAAAATTTATGGAAGTTTTTCTGAGGAAGACTTTATTTCACTTGTGTAGATTAACAGTTAACAGCTTTGATAAGTCATCTTTCTTAATACGTAGCGGTGTCCTAAGGTTGAGTTTTATTGGTAAAGAAGTAGATACCTGGCATAAGAAGGATTGTAGACAGATTCTTGCTCTTTCTGTAGCAGTTTTCTAAGAATCTCATTGCCTGTTTGATCTTCTCCAAGGAGTATACAAACTAAACAAGTCCATGCAGATTGCTCTCTGTGCTGCAGTGTCTCAAGCAGAAGCTTCTTTCCTGTCTAGAGGAGTTTTTTTGCATCAAAAGATACAGAGGGACAAGGAAAAAAAAGTATTCTCCCCTTTTCTCCCCTTCTTACCTTAATGCAAAATTTATGATATACATTGGGGAACATTTCTGTATGAACAGAATTTTTGAGAGCAGTTGTTAGAATGTGAATTGCAAGAGCCCTTTTGAGATTGGAGTGCAGCAATAACAAGTACTTTGAATGAAGTTCCCAGTAGTAGCCAAAGGAGCAGAAGAGTTGGTAAGGTAGTAGCATGTGGATGAGAGGTCTCAAAGCTTCCCAGTTACAAGACCACGGAACAATTCTCACTTAATAATGGCTTACAGCTGCTTCTGGCTGGATCTAAAGATCTCTCTAGTTCTGTACCACTTAATTACACAGTGGTTTTGGTAACTTACAGTATATGATGTAGTTACTCAGTGATTTTGATAACAGGAACAAGAGTAGCTGTGTCATGTTTTATAGAACACTGCAAAACATTTGCAGTACTTTTGGGTTGAAGTTACACTCAGTTCTTACCTCCTGCTTTGACTGGATAGAGCTCTCTGACTGGAAGTACTTCAGAAACTCTTGGTTTCATTTGTGTGTGGATCCTTGGAATACATGAAATGTGAACTTCAGAGGAAATTGTGGTCATGGTAGTTGGGATTCTTATCTAATGAGTAGGTCTAAGTTGAAGTTTCATATAGATAAAATCAGGTGCATAAATTATTTCTGTGGTTGCTTCTATTAATATTACAACATATTTAGCAGATTACAAATTACATTTGTAATCCTCATGTCAGAATTATGGAGAAGACAAAAATATATTTTCTTCACAAATGAGAAAATTATTATGGTAAAATTGTCCTCCCCCATTTTTGGGATGGAGTGAATCTTTAATATAGTAAGTATGGGAAAAAAATAGTTACAGGTGAGACCCATTAGGGAAAAAAAAATAATTTCTTTTAGATGAACAGAGTTTCGAACTCTCAGATTTTTACAAGACAGTGAAATACATATTTTGATACTAAAACACATGCATTTAATATGATCATTGTAAGGTCAAGTGCACAAATACTAGGAAATACTGGAATTAATTTACCACTGCAACTTTAATTCCAAAATTATGTCAGTCAGGGTTTTAGACCCTGTAAGTTCACTTTTGTGGCTTTCTCCTATTTCAGTTCATCCTGCCACTTCTATTGAAATTTCAGCTGCCTTTGGTATGTTTTTGTCGTTGTTGCCTTGACAGATCCCTCTGGATGGCATCCTGTCCTTCAGGTTCTTGTTTCTACTTGTCATTCCTGTCTGTATCTTTTATTCCTTCCCTTAGAACACCGTGTGTCAGAGTAGATTAATGAAAAAACCCATCTGGAATAGTTTAGATATAGTGGTTTTTTAATTTGCACTATTTTTCATTGCAGCAAAGCAAGCAATGGAGCAGGGAAGATCTCCAGTTATAATAGACAACACTAATACTCAAGCCTGGGAAATGAAGCCGTATGTGGAAGTGGTAAGGTTTTTTTGTATGATTATGTCATTCATTACAGTTTTCCAAACTTAGCTTCACATGTGATAAGTTGGTGTGTTTTCTCCAGAAACATTTTCCTTGCTCAGGTTTCTAAAGAGAGAGAGACTATTGTTGCTAACAATTACTAATTGGTGTGGCAATGGTTTAGATCAGTTGGAGGATCGACTTGATCTAATTTACTTAGCCTGGAACAAAAGACGGGTTGGGGGTGAGTGAAACTCGGCATGCTACCACTGCAGAGTGAGCTACATCTCTTTACTATACTTGTCTATCAATTTTTTCTTATGTTTTATGTAATGAAGATATACATATCACACATATTTCTTCACTTGCTGCAGGCTCTAGAAAAAGGTTACAGAGTGGAATTCCATGAACCAGATACTTGGTGGAAGTTTGATCCTGAAGAATTAGAAAAGTAAGGTTTCTCTTACAGAAATCATGATACTTTACATATAGAGATAGGCAGATAAATATGCATGCATAAGTATATATACAGTAAGTTATATTTTATTCAATATATTATTAAGTACTTTACTAGTAGTTTGAAATGTATTTTATTTAAATAGGCATTTTGAGCCATACTTTAAATGGAAGTTTTATGGATAAACAAGCAGACAAATAAATACTGGCCCTGTCCTGTTGGCCCAAAAAGTCAGTATTAAAATGTTATTGGACATGTGTAGAAAAATGAATGACCCCTGTAAGAATCACTGTTATTATAATGAATAATTACTGTGATAAATTTGTTGTTACAGAATGCTGATGGCAAGGAATAGGTAGGAGACAAAAAGAAATTCCACATTTGACAAGGAGTGCATCAATATAGTACTTTGTTTTGTCTACTTTTACAGGTGTTTCAGTGTTAAAGAACAACAGTCTATTACTAATCAGTAAAAGTTAAAAAGAAAGCTCATATTTTATATTATTCTATTGCAAGCTTTTGTGGAATCATCCCCAGTCTTCAGAGGATCTGACGTAGAGTACTGTTGAACATAGGTCATTGAACTACTGGGTTGTGAGACTGCTTAGGAAGCTGCTTATTATTCCTAGTTAATATCCTTTTTGTCTCACATGTATCTGCTGTAGGATTCTATGAGGTGTCAGTCTAACTTAGAGATATTTCTTTATTTGAAACGTAATGTAATAGTTTCACAGTTGATGACAGAGTTCTTGCACTGATTGTCATTTTATATGTATCCAGCTGACTTCACTTATAATTGTTTCAGCTTTGCAAGTAGCCCTACAGTGCAAGTATGTTGTATAGTGCTTACATTACTGACTGACTTTATTGTGTTTACAAATCTTTTAAAGTTTTCACCTTCTGCTCCTAAGCTACCACTAACTTTTTTTCTAGAGATGGAATGAATTCTAGTAAGTTTTCTCTAGTTTGGGGTACAGCACAGCCAAGTTAGGAGGGTTAACAATCAGACACTTGTAAGATATTCAGCATGAAATTTCCTTTATGTGAGACAGACTCGGTTTCCAGGAAAATTCATGTTTCCATATGGTCTTAACAGGCAAAAGGATAAGCAAACGTGAAGTGCAGTTACTGTTGAATTGTATTGTTTAGTCATTAGTTGTAGGAGTAAAGTTTATGTCTTTCCCAAAACCAAAGGTTTATTTGAACTGTGAAGTGCTGCTACCAGTTTTTAGAAGGTTCTTAGAAATGTTTTGGTGGCTCTACTTGCTTTAAATATTTGAATAGAGGCCCAGTGTCTGGAAACTTTATTTTTAAGAGTTGAAGAAAGGCGGTGATGTAAGTTTTCATTTTCTTTTTTAGTTGCTTCAGGAGAGGGCTCCTCCCAGTTTTGTATCATAAGCAGACTTGCTGAGGGTAGTGTGAAAATATTTAATAGTGACAGAACTTTGCTTTTATCAATAGGTTCTGTGTTGCTCCAAGCAAAACGAACTTCCCTATTATAACTATCTATTAGGAGCTTTTGCAGGTGTGTCTGTGTTGGTCCAGGATAGATGGCTTTGTGCTTTTTCAGCATAGCCAAGCTGCAAAAGGATAAGTGAAGACGTGCCTGAAGAGGAGATCCCAGTATTAAATGACACTATACAGCAAATTGATTTCCTTTTTTCAATTAGTTTCTATGCTTAATGCAATTTTGCTGTTTGTGATTTTATTATCCTGCCTTACTCCTTATTAGGCCTTTCCTTTTATTGTCCTGCCTTTCCTTATTAGGGAAAGTATTTACTCGTCTATGATGTGATTATACACAAATCCGTTCAGTTGTGGATGAGTGTGCACTCTATTCCCAGAGCACTTGAGCTGTAATCTTCTTCTAGGAGTACTAAAAGATAGGGAAGATACTGAGTAACTTTCTGCTTCCACCACTTGGCATAAAAGGACTTAAGAGTTCCTCTTCTCATATTTTGTCTGTCATGAGTGTCAAGTGCTTTATAGTATCCGCATTTTTCTAGGGGATTGTTTTTTTTCCTCTACCATTAACCTTGTTCATATTTGTGAATAAAATCAAAACTGTTAAGGCTCACCAACTGATAAGTTCAATATGCAACTGCTCCTGGACTGCTTTAGCACAATCTAGAAATTAGAAGCATGTAAACAATGAGCCACAAGTGATTATCACTCTAGCTTCTGATGTTGTCTCAGGGAAGAGTTTCTGTGAGAGAAATATTCTATTTAAGCATTTTCTTCACAGAAAGAAAGCTGATAAAATGCACCTTTAGGAGCCAGCATAATTTTGAATACTTCTGAGATCACCAATTCTGCTTCCACTCTGAATGTGAAACTAGTGTGCTACCTGCAGTATGCTTTGAACCCTTATCAACCTTATACTTCTTTGTTGTAATAATACATACAAACTCCTGGAGGGGCTGGGTGGTGAGGAAGTCAGTCTTTTAAAATATTTCTGTATGGAGTATCCTCTTTCCAGTATAGCCTGTTTGTTCCCAGTATTGATTTCCCTGCTACAGAACTGAGCAAGGTGGTAAGGCCGATGCTTCTTCTGTCCCTGGCAGAAAGCACAAAGATTCAGAAATACCTTCCCTGTTGGTTTAATGTGGAAATATTTCAGATTAGACAAGATTTCTTGGTGGTAAGAGATGTATTGATGAGAAAATATTGTCATTAAGTCTAGAAACCATGTAGTTACATATTTTTTATGGTGGTTTGAACATTGCTTTCATAAGGAGTAGTCTATGGTATTATTCATCCCTCTGCTCATTAACTAGTATATCATGTAAAATGTGATGAATGAATAGAAAGCAAAGTCCTTCTAGGGTAATTTAGATACGTAGTTATATAACTATAAATTATATAGTTATAGTTGTATAACATCACATTTCTGTATGAAGAAGAACGACCGTATTGTTTACTGTTACTTAATATATGCAGTGGTAGATTGTTAAAATAAACCTTAACACAAGTTGAATACCTAGAGAATGAGGGTACAACATACTAAAAGTTTAAATATGAAAAGCAAGAAGAAAAAAAATTGAGAATTCTGAAGTTTTTTCATAAAGACTGTAAACATATAACTGTGAACGTGTATTAAACATGTATAACTATATATATATACTTATATCTAACTATAAAAATACCAGACAGTTAATTTCAATTTTATTTTTTTTTTGTAGGAGGAATAAACATGGGGTCACTCGTGAGAAGATTGCTCAGATGTTGGAACGATATGAATATCAAATATCTGTACCTATTGTCATGAATTCAGTGGTACCTTCCCACAAAAGCACTCAAAGACCACCTCTGCAGCGAAGACATAGGTGGGGAGACAATACAGACTCATGGAATTATTTCAGTGTTTCCAGTAGCCAGTAACACAGTTGCAGTCAGTTAATAAGGATCTGTTCCTTGCCCTTTTAAAACACATCATCACCTCCAATAAATAGTGGATCTTCTGTGTTTTAAATAGGCCTCTTTCAAGACCATTTTCTTCTGGAGGTTGTTCTTTTTAATGGACTTGCATGTAAATAGAATTGTACATTTAATGTTTTTTAAAACTATATTTATTAAAGTTGTAAGACCTTTGATTTTAGTAAAATATTTAATATAATATGGCATATAGCAGAGTCTTCCTTCATAAATCTAAGACAATGATGTTGTCATATATCAGGTAACTGTTGAGCAGTTTTTTTTAAAGAAAGGGTCATATTAGAGATCTTGTAAAAGATAATTAAAGCCCTGGAAGAAGAGGTTATTTATGTAATAATCCATTTTAATGATTGTCATTTAGCCTTCTTACCTTTTCGGAGATTTTTTTGAAAACAGATATATGCTGAATTGTCTCTTAGTTCTGTTTGGCATATATTTCCAGCTGGAAAGACTTTGGCATGGCTTTTCTGGTTTCAGGGGTTTGATTTTTTTGCTTGGTGGTTTTTTTTCTTGGTTTTTTTTGTGGTCTCAGAAGCTCATGTGGCAACTGCAGCAACATTCTGCCAATACAGTATTCACCAGCCTTAAACTGTGCAACCTGAATTATTTTTTTATTTGTTCTTGTTGATAGTATATAAACTATGATGGTGTCTGCACACCACTAACTTTTTTTTTTGTGCTGACTGAAAAAAAAAAATCTTAGTTTTAAACCCCCAAAATTTCACAACTGTGTCTTTCTAAGTCAATTTGTTTCATTTGCGGTAAAAATGAAGTATTAAAGTATTAGGTTGTCAAATCCCAGTCCACAGTTGGGATGCATTAATTCAATATAAATACTGGATATAACTGTAAAACCATCTTGCATTCCTAATTTTGGCACAGTGATTGTAATCTGTTTAGCACATAACAAAGAATGAGCCAGCATGGAGAGTGACTAATTTACTGCCGTTTTTCTCGTAAAAATGATGGATTTGTAAGTGTTCACTCTGCTTGTTTTTTAACAGCTTGCTGTATTAATAAAATATATTTGTCTTCAGTGTTGTTGAAGTAGTCCAGTGCAACAGTTGGTATTATTTTCAAACTTGTAGGATTTTATACAGATAAGTGTTACTACTAACCTGCTAGCTGAAATAACCTGTCTTCAGGTCTAACTACGTTTGATTTCCTTATACACTGAATGAGTAAATGTTGACTGGGAGATTTTGTCAAGAACATGAGAACATAACTAAGAGAATTTTGATGTTATCTATTACTAAGTTGGTGTCATAGTCATCAGAATTTTGGAAAATCCAAAGCCAGCATAATTTTTTTAAATTGTAAACAATTTTTGAATAGGCCCTAAAAATTACTTCCTCACTAAAGTCTGAATATCATGAAAGTTGAAAATCCAGCTATATAATGAAGTTGTGGTTTTCTACACCTATTGTTCAAATATGAATTGATGTTTTATTTATTTGAAAAATAATTTAAAATGTTTCAGTAATGCATGTTAATATATTGAATTATACGTATATGTATAGAAGAGGCTCTCCCAACTATGTTGTTTCCCTCATTGTCTATTATTCAAATCAGTTATCTTGCTGTATTTTAGTTTTCATGGTTATCTTTTTCCATGTCTCAAAAGAATCATTGAAATTATTGTACATGTTCAGTAATACTTTATCCCAGAGCTTTTATGTTTAAACATGAAAGCATATTTCAAGTGGAAGGGAGATAAAAAGGTTTTAGAAAGACTCATTTTATTTACTCTATTTTACTGTAAGCTATAACATAAAATTTATTGAGGCTTTATGTAATATTCACACTGTGCAAAGGTATGGCAAAACCAGAGCTTCCTATTGAAGATTGATGTTATAATATCTTTTAGCACCTTTTGTCTTCAGGTTTTAAGGGAAATTATTTAAATAGCTGTTAATTGGTACTATTTTTAAAAAGTGCAGCTTTTCTTGTGTTACCTTTTTAATTATTGGTGGGCGAGGAGTGTTTTTCATGTGCAAAGCTTGCTGATCAATAATAAGCCTGCATTTTGCAAAGGGCATTTAAGAAAGAGAAGCTCTGCAATTTGTTTCTGTATCAAATATTTCTTTTAAATGGCTCCATCTATACAGCTGAATTCCAAGGTAAGTACAATGACATGGTAGGTGAAAACACAATGGAATTACTGTCAGTGTAACACATTTTTGTTTCATGGTGTATTAATATTTTATGAGGATAGGACAGTCACAGATATACATATATCTCAGAAGCTGATTTTACACTCCAGTGTTTATATGTAAAAATAATAAAAATTATGTGAAATACATGTTGCAGGTATTGAATTTCTCATGCTATCTCAAAACCAAGGAAAATCAGAGGAAAATTAGTTATTTTTTCAAAATATGTATGCAAGAAATGTAAGAACTCGCTGCTCAGCTAGATAGCTAGATCTAAAAATTTTTAATGCCTGCTGTAGTTTTTATACAATACATGTATTGATGAGCATAACATACCTATAATGAAGGTTTCCTGTTTTACATTTTTAGTAGATTGCTATTTCACCATATTTCATAAAATAGTAGTGTTGGATTGGGTTTTTTAAAAATTTAACTAATGCATAGAGCCTGGCTTTGTCTGGGATAAAGTTAGTTCTCTTCAGAGTAGCTGGTGCGGGACTGTGTTTTGGATTTGTGCTGGAAACAGTGTTGATAACAGAGCAGTGTTTTTGTTATCGTTGAGCGGTACTTACACAGTGTCAAGGCCTTTCTGCCTCACCCCACCCCACCAACAAGTGGCCTGGGAGTGCACATGGAGTTGGGAGGGGACACAGCCTGGGACAGCTGACCCCAGCTGACCAAAGGGATAGCCCATACTATGTGGTGTCGTGCCCAGTATATAAAACCAGGGGAAGAAAGAGGAAGGGGGTGGAGGGCATGTTCAGAGCGATGCCGTTTGTCTTCCCAAGTAACTGATAACGCGTGACGGAGCCTGGCTTTCCTGGGAGATGGCTGAACACCTGCCTGCCTGTGGGAAGCGGTGAATGAACTACTGATTTTGCTTTGCTTGCATGCATGGCTCTTGCTTTACCTGTTAAACTGTGTTTATCTCAACCTGTGAGTTTTCTCACTTTTATCCTTCTGATTCTCTCCTTCATCTCATCAGGAGGGAGTGAATGAGTGGCTGTGTGGGGCTGAGTTGACAGCTGGGGATAAGCCATGCCAACCTAGTGTAACACTTCTAATTTTTAACATGTGATGTTAAATGATCTCCTGTGAGGAATTCTGTCTTCTCTTCTTGTAGCCATGTCCTCTTTAGGTTCATTTTAATCCAGTTGGCCATGCTTCATAATTTTTTTAAGCTTTTTGCCTTTAAGAAGAGAGCCAGGATTTTGTCTTTTGTCATCTATCTCCTGAACCCTTTTGCAGACATGGTTGTTTCTCTGCTAATAGATAACTAAAAACAAGGCTTTGTCTAGCTATGATTGGACCCATAATATTTATATTTAATTATTTTGTGTCCATCTTCCCTGTTGCAATTTAGATTGTTGATATTTTCTTCTTTGAGCTGACCAGTAGGATTCATTCTCAGTGAATTAGAAAAAAAATAATTTCTGTTTTTTCACATTCATATGTGACGTGTAGTTTTAACTGCTGTTTCCTCCTAGCAGTCAGGTTTTCTAGAAGACATGTTTTTGCTTTGTGCTGGTACCTCATGGAGATGAGATGACTAGGTATATGTGAGAATTCAGGGGTTTCCATACAAAAGAACAGATGCATGTATTACACAATTCCCTGTAAAAAGCAGTAAGAAGATACAGTGCTGAAATTAAATTGAAAGCAAATACTTGGTTGAGGGGATCAGATGTGGAAATATTTCACTTAATTGTTTCTAGAGTGGCACTTGTCTTATTTCAGCGTTTTATGTTCTCATCCTTTTGAAATAAAAGCAAGAGCAGAGATTAAAGCTCTTCATTAATAATTTCCTAGGTGAAAATCTACTTGTACATCAATAAATTTGTTGGGGAGGTGTGTGGTTTCCTCTTTTTATAGGCTAGTTGGTTGAAATTAGCTGTAAATCTGCTTATTTTGAGTTTGGAGAAAAATATGTGGAAACATAACTGGTCTTATTTTGAAGATAAAGTAGTAAGAGATTGTCAAGGTCTGATCATCTCAAATATGTCTTAATTTATTTCTGTGGTAATGGAGAGGCAACAAAGGGTGGTTTTATCTTGAGATGGACTGTCAGTGTAATTCTAAATCAAGAATAATAAAAGTATTGTGTCTGGAATTGGTCTTTGCTTTGTTTCCTTTTAGCTGATAATGCTGCTGCTTCATTTCTCAGGTAGGCAGGCAGTCCTTGACCATATCATTTGTACCTTACTGCTTTATAGTACTATTGTAACAATACCATGTTGTGCCAAGGCAGAATATATTGTATCCATTAAGTAATTTTTTTTCAGTTGTACTTACAGTCTTTAGTGATGTTAAATATTTTTCTTTTTTTGGTCTGTTAATAGAATTTGACTTTTTTTTTTTTTTTTTGAAACATGTGGTTGCATGATTTCTAACTACTGATTTTTAAAAAGCTGAATTCTTTCGTGAGTGTTGTTTAATCTCTTCCTAAATTGCTAACAGACTAAGAAATGCTGCCTTAGCTGACTGAATAAATATTTGCTTATTTCTAAGGGGCTTATTGTATCATGTACAAATCAGTCTTAGTCATGGGCCCATAATGCTGTTTGACTGTTATTTTATTCATGATACTTTTAATCATTTTTTTTCTTTATTCATTAGCCATAGGCTTTGGTAACCTACACTATAAGTTATTATAGTCTATGAGAAGTTATTGGACAGCTTATCCCACATTTTACTCTTAACCATTAATAGTTTCTGAAGGCTCGTGAACCTGACTTAAG